TTATTTTTGCAAAAAGTTTTTTTTTAAATTACTCACTTGGTAATATTTCGTTCGCACAAAATCAAAACGTACAAACTCTAACAGTATATGTTTCACTGTAAATTTTAATTATTGCTGATAATAATTCTTCCTTCAAAAATTATTGCTGGTAATAATTTTTTTATTATAAAGTATTTCTGGTATTAAAACCTATTTTTACACAAATTTGGGTGTTGAGTATTTGCCCATAGCTGGGACTCTAACAGGTGCTACTACCCCTGGTCAGGGTGGACCTAGAAACAACAGCAATTAAGAGGTGATTCCACGCTCCTCAAAACCTCCTGATCAGAGGCCTTGCTGCTGGACGTAGTTTATCGTCATACCCAGTGAAATACTGGTGAAAGTAATTAATGTAGCTCACCTGCCATGAAAATAGCGATGGAGTAGTGATTGGTTTGCCACCAGTGGGTCTGGCGAATAAATCTCCACCCCGCCCCGACAATACACAATTTTGAACGCTATTAAGACTGGGGAGTGAAACTTGTGTAAAAATAGGTTTTAATACCAGAAATATTGGTTTTGTTTGGTTTGGTTATTTTTGTTTAAAAGCATATCAACACCTATATGAGTTATTGAATGCCGAACTCTAAATATTTTCACGCAATTTTATGGCTTCAATTATATATATATATATATATATATATATATATATATATATATATATATACTAAAAATGACAATAAGTAAACTAGTAATTGCTGACGCGTTTCGTCTAATGTGGACTTTATCAAAGCAAAATACGATATGAATTTAATTGAACAAGGTAACTAATAACAAAAACAGAATGTTCCTAGTACAAAAGAGACCTCACAAAAAACAACTTAGCTAATGCAATAGTCATACATAGAAATAAATTCAACCATAATTTTGATTTTAAAAATGCTACACTCATAAAAAAAGAAAATAACTCACTCAGAAAGGAAAATTCTAGAGAGTGCTGTCGTAAAAAATTACCCAAATATTAATCTACGCCCAGGTTTTTTCCCCATTTCACCTTTCTTAACAAAATTACTGCTCTTACAAACAAATATACACAACAGATTCATAAAATCAAAAGAAAATGGTTGAATACATCAACACAGATATAATGACAATATTCTCCACACGTGACAAATACTGACGTTATTTTCAGTTAACAATATGAAAATAGCGTTTCTCTACATTCCAGTTGCTAGGAATATTCTGTTTTTTGTTTTTATTAGTTACCTTGTTCAATTAAATTCATTTCGTATTTTGCTTTGATAAAGTCCACATTGGACGAAACGCGTCAGCAATTACTATTTTTCCTATTGTCATTTTTATTCATAAATATTGTCTTCTCTACTGGTTAAATCGGAGAAATTTTCATATATATATATATATATATATGTATGTGTGTGTGTGTGTGTGTGTGTGTATATATATATATATATATATATATATATATATATATATTGTTCAACATTTTATGCTTTCAGGGTAAATCTATGTTTTATAGATATATAATTTGTAGATGTTCTATTGTAAGAGTCATGTGTTGCTATAAACCTATTTCCTTAAGGTGGGAAATTATGTTGAGGGTTTCAGTATTGTCAGATAGTTTTCACGTGTTGGTTTCCTTGTAGTATTTATATCGTACAGGGGCTGAGTGGGTATATTCAGTTAAAATATGTTTCACCGTGAGTGCAGCTTGGCATGTTGTGCATGTTGCTTGATCTTCATTCTTCAACAAGTAATAATGGGTGAGGTATGTATCTGTAGTCAAACTAAAGTTACGCCATCTTTTCTTCTTTCTCTAGACCAGCGTTTCTCAACCCTTTTTACCCTTGCGTAACCCTTAAAATAAATTACATGGCTCAAAAAACGCCTGCGCAAAAACAAAATTATATACCATATCTTCCTTTTATTTTTATCGTAGTTCACGTGGTAAATATCATAGTATATATTTTTGAATAACTAGTTTAATGAGTGAGCACTGACTAGTGAACATGGTTTAAAACTGGCACCGTACAGACCTCAAATATATTCCCAATGATTGTTATATATTTTAATAACATAATAGGTTAGATAGGATGATGTCTATATTACAATATTACAATAACCAAGAATAAATTCTGTATGTTTAGTAATATTACGTATATGAAATTAAATAAAAAGACAAAAGTGCAATAGCGTATTTCACCTGTTCTCACGGAAGCCTTAGGGACCTTTTGCGAAAACTTAGGGTTAGTTCATCCGGTGCCTCCACGTTGCCTGAATCCAACATATCTCAGCAGGCAATGTCGAGAATGGAACAGTCTCGGTAATTAATCGCATGGTAGTGTAGGTAATGGTCTTGGCTTGAGTTGCCTGGCCTTGCATTACCTTCTTTTTTTAATTTAACGTCAGTCCATCTCCTCTCCTGGTAAATGAAACAACCGAAATGAATTGTTATTCGCCAGGTTTGATGGTCGGCAGCTTCTGTAGTGTTAGGGTTAACTCTAGTTTGAAGAAAGACTGCGATTTGGGGCTCCGTTTGCCGTTAACGATGTCGGTGTAAAGGATTGGTTGGCGGCAGTTTTGAATTGGTCATTCTGCTGATATGTCCTGACCACCTGATGTGATGCTTGAGGATGGCGTCTTCAATGTACGGAATTTCTAAGCGATGGAGGATTTCGTTGTTGGTGCGTCGGTCTTGCCATCTGATGTTGCTACTCTTTTCTTGTTGGATTCAACTTTGGTATAAAACTATTACTTTAAGATAGAAGATTACGTTGACGCTTTCAGTATTTTCATATGGTTTTCTCGTGTTGGTTTCCTTTTAGTATTTATGTCTTACAGGGGCGAAGTGAGTACATTCAGCATTTATGTCTTACAGCGGCAAAGTGAGTACATTCAGCATTTATGTCTTACAGGCGCAAAGTGAGTACATTCAGAATTTATGTCTTACAGGAGCAAAGTGAGTACATTCAACATTTATGCCTTACAGGTACAAAGTGAGTACATTCAGTATTTATGTCTTACAGCGGCTAAGTGAGTACACTCAGTATTTATGTCTTACAAGAGCAAAGTGAGCACATTCAGTATTTATGTCTTACAGAGGCAAAGTGAGTACATTCAATATTTATGTCTTACAGGGGTGAAGTGAGTACATTCAGTATTTATATCTTACAGCGGCAAAGTGAGTTCATTCAGTATTTATGTCTTACAGGGGCAAAGTGAGTACATTCAGAATTTATGTCTTACAGGGGCAAAGTGAGTACATTCAACATTTATGCCTTACAGGTACGAAGTGAGTACATTCAGTATTGGTCTTACAGTGGCGAAGTGAGTACACTCGGTATTTATGTCTTACAGGGGTGAAGTGAGTACATTCAGTATTTATGTCTTACAGGAGCAAAGTGAGTACATTCAGAATTTATGTCTTACAGGGTGGAAGTGAGTATATTCATCATTTATGTCTTACAGGGGTGAAGTGTGTACATTCAGCATTTATATCTTACAGGTCGAAGTGAGTGAGTACTGTTAATTTTCTCCTCTGAAAGTTCTCCACTGCCTTAACCGGGTATTGAATTCACACTCTTTGGGTCTTGTCACTGGATCTAACCAACACCTTTATCCACTGTGCCATGTGTCTAACAGGAGATAACTGATAACTGACATCCATTAAACATGGCACGTGGAACTAGAACAGTCTACCCCAGGGTGCGAAATAAAGGGTTCAGTTCGACATTCCAACCACCTGAAGAAGTTCGGAGCGTACAACGGCCGAAACGTTGTAATAAATATGGCGACAAAGATGAGGACAATCGTCCAAATAATGTAAATAGTGTACATAGCCATTGTTTACACAATCACCGTCTAATCCCACCAGATACCAAGTGAAACTAGTACGATTTGACTATTTATTACTAAAAAAAAAAACGTTATTAATTCCATTATCTTCTGCCATCTTATTCCATTATCTTCTTATTCTTAGCAGTGGACAACTTGGAGAGGGGAATTAACAGGAGATACTAATAACTGGTATCCATTAGACATGGCACGTGGAACTAGAACAGCCTACCCCAGTGAGCGAAATAAAGGGTTCAGTTCGATATTGCAAACACCTGACCGAAACGTTGTAATAAATATGGCGACGAAGATGAGGACAATAGTCCGAATAATGTAAATAATGTAAATAAGGCCTCCTCTCGGAAATATAGACAGTTACGTTATCATATCACTAGTAGTTTTCTATTTTATCTGTGACTTACGGTCTTAGTGTCACTTTAGTCTCATACAATATTGTCGGATCTCCCTTCGCATTGTCGTTAGGTCGACATGGTGCATTCCGTTACTCACAGTTTCCCTTACTTTTCCACATTTTCTGCACAAAGCTGAATTCAAAGATCGGTTATTTCTTATGGTTTTCTCTTATATAGCAATTATAAAAAAATACCTGTTCCTTTCTTTAAGTCTTCATTCTTCAGTTTTACCCGTGTTTCTATTTTATCAATTTCTTCCATTATTCTCCTTATCAATGTCCATGAGAAATTGTTGAATACAGTACTTCTCCTTTGAAACTGCTACTCTCATTTCTAGATGTTTTCTTTTATCACCTTTCCTGATACAACTCGCTGTTTCTATTATGCCAGATATCTTTCTCTGACAGGGAATGATTCATGAACGTTCTTCAAATAATACCGTAAACTAACTCTTCACTCGTAATACAGTCTTTGTATCCCATCAAAACCCTTTCTCCTTTATCCATGCTTACGGCCACATCACGTAGAAACACTGTTTACCATACGATCATCGAAGTTAAGCAACGTCAAGCCTGGTCACTACCTAGATATATGCACCGCTTAGAAATACCAGATACTCTAAGGCTTATGGCCACATCACGTTGAAACACTCGTTTCCATACGATCAACGAAGTTAAGCATGATCAAGCCTGGTCAGTACCTAGATATATGACCGCTTAGGGATACCAGATACTCTAAGGCTCATGGATACATCACATTGAAACACTGGTTTCCATACGATCAACGAAGTTAAGCAATGTCGAGCCTGGTCAGTACCTAAATGGATGACCGCTTAGGAATACCAGATACTCTGAGGCTTATGGCAACATCACGTTGAAACACCAGTTTCCATACGATCAACGAAGTTAAGCAATGTCGAGCCTGGTCAGTACCGAGATGGGTGACCGCTTGGGAACAGCAGGTACTGTAAGATTAGATGTTTAGGTGCTATAATGGTTAATGGCTCGTAATTGTTAAGCAGAGAGCCGATTTCCAATTCACGTTGGGTTTGTTATATTCCTTTACTCACAAAAGTTATGAATCCACCTCTTCTCCCCCCAGCTTTGGGTTAATTAGTACGACATGTATCCCTAACCGTTATTATCTCAAAAAAATTCTTAAAATCTAAAAATATTTCTGATTTTAAATCACCTGCAAAAGGGTTGATAAGCCGTAGAAAACGAATCGACCAATATATTCTGTTAATAGCGTTTGGTAAGAATACGAGACAGTTTTCCTTGAAAAGAGGTAAATATAGAGAAAGAATAATATATGTATGTGAGGTGCTTAAATGAAACATACTAGGCTCACTCTCTCTCTCTCTCTCTCTCTATCTATCTATCTCTCTCTATTTGTCTATCTATCTCTACATCTCTCTCTACCTCTCTCTCTATCTCTCTATCTCTCTCTCTCTCTATCTCTACCTCACTCTCTATATATATATATCTATATATCTATCTATCACTCTATATCTCTCTCTCTCTGTATCTTTATCTCTCTCTCTATCTATCTATCTATCTCTCTCTACCTCTCTCTCTCTATCTATCTATCTCTACCTCTCTCTCTCAACCTCTCTATCTCTCTCTCTCTACCTCTCTATCTCTCTCTATCTATCTGTCTATCTCTACTTCTCTCTCTATCTCTCTATCTCTCTTTCTCTCTCTCTATCTCTCTATCTATCTATCTCTCTACCTCTCTCTACCTCTCTCACTCTCTCTCTATCTATCCATCTATCTCTACCTCTCCCTATCTCTCTCCATCCATCCATCTACCCTCTCATCTATCTCTCCTATCTTTATCCATCCATCACCCTATCCTATCCATCCCTACCTCTCTCTCTCTCTACCCCCATCTCTCTCTCCATCCATCCGTCCATCCCCACTTCTCTCCATCCATCTATCCATCTTTCTCTCTCTATCTCCCCATCCATCCATCTCTCCACCTCCCTCCCCCCACCCCCCCCATCCATCCATCCATCCATCCATCTATCCATCTATCCCCACCTCTCTCTATCTCTCTCTATATATCTATCTATCACTCTCTCTCTCTCTCTATCTCTCTATCTTTATCTATCTATCACTCTATCTATCTATCTCTCTACCTCTCTCTCTCTATCTATCTATCTATCTCTACCTCTCTCTTTATCTATCTCTTCCTCTCTATCTCTCTCTCTATCTATCTCTCTAGCTACCTCTCTATCTATCTATCTCTACCTCTCTCTCTCTCTACCTCTCTCTATCTCTATCTCTATCTATCTATCTGTCTATCTCTACCTCTCTCTCTCTCTCTCTCTCTATGTATCTATCTCTCTCTACCTCTCTATCTCTATCTATCTATCTATCTATCTATCTATCTATCTATCTATCTATCTATCTATCTATCTATCTCTACCTCTCTCTCTATATCTCTCTCTATATATCTATCTATCACTCTCTATCTCTATCTATCTATCTATCTATCTCAATAATAAAATAATTATTTATTCACTTCTAGACTCCGTCAAAGTAATATCGACAAAATACATAGTATGTAGTCTAGGTTCATCTTCGAACATTCGATCTTCTTCTTACGGGAATACAAGTGAGTCTAATTTCTGCTCTCCAATGCCTGTCGTTTATATTACTTGCCTTGTGTGCGTATATCCTAAATTAAGGTGGGTTTACTTTCTATTTAAGTTGGCGCAGCCACTGACATATTCTGAGGCTCAATTCAGCATTGGTGACTTTGAGGACAGCTTCTAAGTGAGCCATCAACGAACCTAGGTATTTAGACATTTGAGGTGAATCTCTTAGAGTGAACCTAGTACATACCGAGCTAACCACTAATGCGCTAGTACTTTCGAAATTTTTCACATTTTCAACATCAGGCTTTAATATTTTTTTTCCGTATCAGGTAACTAAAATGGAAAAAAAATTAATATTAATTTTTTTTTAAATATTTAAAACCGATGCTGAAAATGCGAAAACTTTCGAAAGTACTAGCGCCCAGGAACATCAAATAAATCCATCTTAAAATTTCAAACATAAGGATCGCGTCATTCAACCAATGGTTATTAGGTTAATGCTTTATTAAATTTGTTAGCGAAGAGATTTCGCCATTAATTACATTAACTTTTTACAGATTCATTATTTGTATAATTACCTCTTTATAATATATATATATATATATATATATATATATATATATATATATATATATATATATATATGATAGGACGGAGAGCAAAGAGACACAGACTAATAGTTTGTTGCTTTTTTATCATTTTTACCTTGATTTCTGACGAAGCATTAATAAAGTGAAACATGTCTGCGTGGCACCATGCATACCTGACGAGCTGAGAGAAATATTCATAGATATATGATTTGTTTTTTACGGTTTATCAACCATTTAATAATTATTTAAGGCCAAGAAATATTTTGGGTTTTAAGAATAATACGAAAAAAAATAATACGAAAACAGGTCATAGGCGAGCACACACACGCACGGCTGACAGATAACAGGTGTCGAAAAATATTCAGGTCAAGCATCTGACCGATTTCCGCGGATCCGCGAAAAATGGAAGTGTGTTATCAATTGGTTGTCACCCAGAGGAAAAGAAGAAACGAAGTTTAGGGACAATGAAAATATTGATAAGTAACAAAGTGGGAAAGTGTGTCATTGGAATGATAGTAAATGTCTAAGTGGGTGGGGAAGTGTATCTAAGGATATGAAGACAAACCATTAATACGAAAACACAGACAGTCTCCAGAATTAGAAAAAGCCACACAAGGTGTTGTCGCTGAAAAAAATTTTTTTTTTTTTTGAGATAATAAAGATTTTATTATCAGACCTTCGAGCGGAGGGAAATTGAAATATTTTTATTCCGTTTCAGAAACGCCAACGAGTCTGAGAAATTCCTTTCTTAGATCATATCCAATTAGCGATAAACTGCTTGACAAATGCCACGTGTTAAAAAAGCCGAAGGTGTCATCTCAGTCGCTCATGATAAGGGCGATTTAAATTAATATTTTTTGTTTTTTAAGCAAGGTATTTCTTTCCCAAAACAAAGCCACGGATTGTCCACGCCCGACTAAAGACATCATTGGCTAAATAAGATCACGTGACACACGAAGGAGGAGGAAAGATACCCGACCAGGACCTCATTGGCCGAGAGCGGTCACGTGACGCACGGGGAGAAACGGTCGACGCCCCTGTCAGAAATGTAAGTGTGAGAAGCCGATACGAAGAAGCGGGGAAGCAGGCACACGCCCCTCAGAGGCACAGTAAGGGAGTAAGAGTGAGTTACCGAAAATGGAAAAGAATGAAAAATCCCTAATCAGAAATAAGAAGGGTGGATACGTATTTAGAATTATCGAAGAACCCCTGGCGCCGACAGACCCACCCCAGTTTTGACTGCGTCAATAAAAACGAGACCCCAACCGACAGAAATCAGTTCAGCCGCGGACGGCGGGAGAGTTCAGCCGTGGACGACAAGCAGAGATGAGCGCCCAGTGTTGAAACCGCGTCAAGATAGCGGACCAAGATTCACGCACACTTCTGGACTCTTCTTCAACCAAGAACAAGTAGTTTGAAGAGCGACTTAGAATCAAGACCACAGAAATAAGTTTTTTTCGACTTTCGTCCAAAGACACACCGAAACACAAATTTCTTAGAGAGCAAACAACTTGAAGCCTTAAAGTTGCCTAGTAAAAGCGTCGTGCCACAATCCACAGAACGGGTCGGGAAGTAGACATAGTCCTATGTACCGAGCAAATAGACATAAAAAGTTTGTTACCTTTTTCTTTGATACGTTGGACCTTGTGAGTTTTTATTTTATTTTATTTTATACATAATTGTGTGTTATCACCCCCGTTGGACTCAACTTGCATTACGGCCCCAACCCCTGTTTGATCTCGTCTGTCTAAGATCAATTCACAACGTGGGTAGGCAGACTGGAGATCAGTACAGTTACCCTGGTAACCAGGCGTTGGAAGCGGGTTGGGAACGGCGAGGCTGGTATCAATCTAACCAAAGGGTTAGAACGTCACGTTTGGAGCAGTGAGGAGCGAACAGCTGACGCCGCGACAAAAGACGTCACAACTGGTGCTGTCCGTGACCAGGATATCAGAGCCTGGGGAGCACGTGACGTCACAATTGGCGCCGCGACCGGGATCGAACGACACAGTCGACGCTGCGACCGGGGGACGACGTCACACTGATTAAGATCTGTTTCCTACTTATCCTTTATCCTATCTCTCTCCTGCTCTCTCTCTCTCTCTCTCTCTCTCTCTCTCTCTCTCTCTCTCTATATATATATATATATATATATATATATATAGAGAGAGAGAGAGAGGAATATTGAGATGGGAGAGAGAAAACTAAAAGTATGTTTCATTTAAGCATCTCACATACATATATATTTTTCTCTATATTTGCCTCTTTTCTACATATATACACCTATTCTGGTTGGACATAAATCCGAAATTACTGCAGCAACACCCGTGTGATGAGGCTGTGGGTCTATATTCTACATAGAGGGGGAAGGACTTCTCTCTCTCTCTCTCTCTCTCTCTCTCTCTCTCTCTCTCTCTGTTATAAGAATTGTTTACTAAGGATATTATTTTCGACTATTTTATACTGGCTACCGCTGTCAACAGTAACTGTGGGTTTCTTCGATTTCTTGACAAACCGATATTGGCGCGTGTGGCATGATTATCTGCCCTTGAAACGACTGCTACGTTATCGACTGGTTAAATCAGCCAGCTCTAAGTCTGATACATACCCATTTTTTTGTCGGGGTTTGTCTGTTGCAAAGTCAACGAATCTCTTCGAATCTTTTGTTATTCAGTTCTGACAATCTAAAAATGAAAACAGGATTCAAATCTGTCTTTCACAAAATGTTTACTCCAACTTTTGTGTCCCTCGATTAAATCAAATCAATTCTAGTTGACTACACGGGATGGGAGAGGGCTACCTGTTAACAAATTGTTCAGTTGATTAGGTTCCTTTATTTGATACTGCTACACAGTTCTAACCATGTTTCAAAATTTTTGAAACATGGTTAGAACCCTGTAGCGAAAAAAAACATATTTTAAAACAGTTAATTTATAATATATATATATATATATATATATATATATATATATATATATATATATATATATATATGTAACGTCTATGCTTAGAATATTGCTGCGACGTATATAGTCCGGTGCCTCTGCTATTTATCTTGAGATCCTTGATAATATCCAAAGAAGAATCTGCAATATTATTGGTCCTGATCTGGCGACTCACCTCCAGTCGCTTTCTCGCCGACGTAAAGTTGCCTCTCTGTGACTTTTCTATAAATACTTTAATGGTAATTGTTCAGATGAACTCTTCGCTATGATACCTAGACTTTTTTTTTTAAATTTAAGCGCAGTAACAGACTGACGTCGAGAACTCATCAATTTACAGTTTCAAATCCAATCGAATGCTTGGAAAAAAACGTCCCGGGTCTGAAGACCATATGCGAAGAAGAATGGAACAAAATACCAACTAAAATTTGCAAATCGTTGAGAACTACAAGAACAGGTTGGTTGCTGTAGAAGCGAATAATGGCTAGTCTACTGAGTATTAAATGAAGATTATGTATTATTTTCCATTGTACGAATACTTTTTTCACCCATTAAAATGGACAACTTGGATTTATTTATATTAAATCATTTTTTCTGTTTTATTCATATTTAGTTATTATGCATCTGTGTACAGTTAATTATATGAAAAGTATGTTTATTCATTGGTTGGAAATACAATAAATTAAAAATTTAGATGTGTATGAATATTTCTTTCCACCCCCCCCACTATATATATATATAGAGAGAGAGAGAGAGAGACAGACAGACAGACAGAAAGAAAGAAAGAATGAACAAGGAAAGCCATTGTTAAGTTTCTCTAATGTCGATTAATTCGTCTGTTCCTAGTTGGAAATTCACAAACAAATTTGCTTGAATTAAGCGCAATTTGACGAGTACATTCGACCTTTGTTAGTCGTTTTCAAGCAAAGAAATCGAACCTGTATCCTACACGGAACCGTCATATAGCCTGGCGTGCTTATGCCATTTAGCTACTGAGGAAGCAACTGGTTAGTAAGGTCAAATTACTGTTTTTAAACTACAAATTCCTAATCTATGACGTTTCCGTGTAGGATACAGGTTCGATTCCTGTCGGTGCAAACATATTTTCTATGAAATTTCTCGGACATTCAGGCCGGTAAATGTTGTTAATACTGTTTATTATACACAGAGAATTTACGCTTTGAGCAGATATGAACATCGAGAGAAATCAGGGGAAATTTGGTATCTTTCATTTTCCAAACACGGTCTACATATTATGGGTGTGTTCAATAACATCAACTATGAACACGGCTTCAATATGCTGACCGTGTTTAGAAAATAAAATACTCCTATAAATCTAGATACATACATAGAAACCATACATTCAGTTAAA